GTGATCAGTGCCAGATACGGTGCTGATGGGAAATGTAGTGTGAGAGTGTAAGAGTCAATATTTGGGTGAGGGAGCCCTCTGATGGTCGGAAGAGGGAATAATTGTGCATTCACAATTAGAATGATTTCTGAAGGATCACGTGACACTAAAGAGACTGGAGTAAAGGCTGCTGAATATTCAGCTTTTTATCACAGGAATAAAGTACATTTTAAAATATAGTTATTTTATTTGTGATAATATTTCACAATATTACTTTTTTACTGTATTTCTGATCAAATAAATGCAGTGTTGATGAGCACAAGACATTGTTTAAATAAAAAAATTGTAAACTTTTTAAAGTTAAACTTTTAAACGGTAGTGTAAGTAAACAAAATATTCTTATTTGTACACATAATTTATACAAAAGTACAGTACAATCCACTATTTCATGAATCACACTTGGTCTTGCTTCTTACAGTAATTTCTCTTTCTGCCTCTTTTTTTTCTTGCCTCTTTCTTTCTCTCCTTCTCTCTCTGTAGGAAGACGCCCAGTTTAAGATTGAATGCACAGCTCTAAGCTCCAACAGTCACTCCTGTAATGTCAGTTACCCAGTGTTCCGCTCTCAGTCGAAGGTAAGCCTCTGAAAGGACAAAGTTTTGTTGTCATGATTCATTGAAACAATCATTGAGCTGTTTTGGTTCATTGACCAGTGATTCTCCCAACTGCCTCATTTTTCTCAGGTGAACTTCATGTTGGAATTTGAGTTCAGTTGTACGTCTCTCATCAGTAAGATCCAGATGAAGCTTGTTGCTTCCAGGTACACACACACACACACACACACACACACACACAAACATACCTTAAACCATTAGCAAATGGCACTGCCCAAGGATGTTATGGCCATTTATTTTTAATAATTAAATTTTGAAGATGCATTTGAAGTCATTTTCGACATTGTGGCATGACACTTCTGTGTCATTCTGCGTACAGCACCCAAACATTCAACACAACATTTGCAAATGCACATCTACAGATGTAAACAAGCATGTGTTATGTTAAAATGTATACTAAATGTGTGTTTTTCCACAGTGACAGTGTGGAGAGTGAAGGCACACTTTCAGACAACAGTGTTCAGTTACAGAGTATTGTACAGTATGAGCCCGATCTCTTCATCACAAGGTTAGATACTTAATGTGAAGATCCAGTACACACGTCTGAATGTCTGCTTTTCTTAATAGTTGACCACTAATGCGAACTTCAGTACTTACAGTACTTACAGTAGTAGCAGCACACATCTTTATTCGACAAAATGATAATAATAATATAAATATTATTGTTGTTATTATTATTATGCCAAAAAGAATAATTTTAATTACAAAAGAGTAATGAAAATGCTGCTACTCAAAGTCCTTTTATAGTTCATTCAATTCAATTGTTTTATTAAATAGCCATGAGTAAATAAAGGCTTTTTACATTTTCTTAATCCCGAGTGCCTTGGCCTTATATGTTTTTACGCTGTTTCATCCCTTATCCAAAGAGCACTAATAATAAATAATAATAAATTATTATTATTTCCTTTATACGTTTCCCAACATCACCTTCCCTTTTACACCTAAGTACAACCTTAAAAAATGTATGCATGTTCAGTGTACAGTATGCATATGTGGTTGTCTTATTTCGGTTAATTTCACTCAGTGACTCCAACCTAAACCGCTATGAGGTTCACCCGACCAGGACCGTGTCCGAGGGGACAGGACCCGAGTTCCACACACATTTCAAGGTGGGTGAAAGTAAACCTGATCGGCTCATTGGTTTATATTTAAAAAATCAGAAAGCTCATGAGTACATGCGAGTATGTTTTTGTTATCAGGTGCAGAATCTGGGCTGTTACGCTGTCGGTAATCTGGAGCTGAGCGTCAATTTGCCTGCCGTGGCTTCAGGAGACAGAGTTTTTGCGACTGTGGTTGATGCTTTCTCTCATAATGTTAGTATCACGTGCATGCGTGTATACAGTCTTACTGTAATTCATATGCATCTTTGTGTTCTTGTAGTTGTTGATGGTTTTTCTGTTTATTTGTAGTCTTCAGGTGTGAACTGCACTATAATCAGTGATCTTTCGAAGTTAAAGTCCAGTCAGAGAGATGTACGTCCACTTCACCCAGAAGACATGAAGAAAACTGAACTATTGGTGAGAATACAGATACTATGTTCACTCCCGGTTTGGTTATGAAAGAAATTAACAACTGCGTTCTATAACTGAAGTAAATCCATTGAGTTTTCAGGACTAACAACGGAATTTTGAGAGTGAGTTTAGTTGATTTGTGCTGAATGGACTTGAAATTGACAACTTGCTGTCTCTGCATAGACATTGCTCTTTGTCTGGTTAAAAAGTGGGATAAAATTCCTGTTAAGTGTTTGATTTGACGAGAGAATAAAATAAAAACAAACTGGAATGAACCAGAGAGTTTTGGCTGCATATCTACGAAATAGAGAGGGATACCCACCCTAAAATTTAAAATGCATCTATTTGTTTTGTTTTTTTTTGTATAAAGATGCAATTTATACTTGTAATTAATAAAGTAATTATATATATATTACATTTCATTTGGAAATAAATTAAGTTACATTATTACATTTTTAGTTGATTTGTATTAATTTATTTACTAAATAATTTACTTATTTTAATTAAGTAAATAAATTAAGTAAATTAAGTCATTTTAATTAAGTAAATAAATGTACTTATTTATTTTAAGCACATTTTATTTATTCATTCATTTTAATATTATTTTTATTATTTATTATTATTTTTTTCTTTTTTTTTTATAGTTTTTCTTTAAACATTTCCACAGACTCCCAAGCACTTCCTTGTAAACACTAGTTTGAAAACCCCTGACCTAAAGTACCAGGGCCGAAACCACCATCAGAGGGTGCATGAAATGATTCTATATGTAAAAATAACCGTTAATTTATGTACTGCTGTTAAGCATCTTATCTTTTGCTTTCATATTTAGAATTGCACTTCCTCTTGGTGTGTGGAGGTCGTGTGTCACATCCAGCAGCTACTGAAGGGACAGACAGCCTTGATTCGCATCACCAGGAGGATACACGACAACTTCTTCAGACAGGTGACATCTCTCAGACTTTAGTACGCACAGGCAGATGGCTACAGAGGTGAGATGTGTTTACTGGGATGTGTTTGTGTTTCAGTCTCTAACTACTGTGTGCTTCTGTCAGGCCAAGTTTAAAGCAGTGACAATTGTGGGCTCTTACCAGCTGTCAGCTCGAGAGTCCAGTCTGATTACAATGGGAAGTGCTGCCCTCTTGAGGGAGGTGAGAAAACTGACAGGACATAAACTCCTAAACCAGGGGTGTTCAGACCTGTTCCTGAAGGGCCACTGTCTGGCAGAGTTTAGCTCCAAACTTAATTAAACACACCTGAACCAGCCATTTAAGGTCTTCAGACTCACTAGAAACTTCTTGGCAAGTGTGTTGAAGCTGGTTGGCGCTAAACTGTGCAGGACGTTGGCCTTCCAGGAGCAGGATTTGACACCCCTGTCAAATTAACATTGAATAAACCATTGAAAGACAGTTACACAGGGGTCCAAAAGAGTGAGACCACCTGTGAAATGATTTTCTTATTTTAATTTTATGAAATGTTTCTGTTTTACTTTAGCATGACAATTTGAGCGAAAACTTGAATTCACAAAATCTCAAATTTACTTGATTAGTGACCAAGAAACTGTTCATTCATTCGTTTGTTCGTTCATTCATTCATTCATTCATCCATCCATTTATGCAAAATACTTAAACCTTATTTTCAGGATTAAATTACATTTTGTATCTGAGGTTTTAAACTTTTGGAGGCCACTGTACTTTACGTTAAATAATGTATGCACATTTAATGTAATTTCTGCACTTTCTATTAGTTGTCTCTGTTAGTGTTAAAAAAATAAGCTTGTTGACAAAAATGAAATCCTTCCCTACTAGGCAGTGCCTGCTCAAAAATATTGAATGAGAAAATGATCCACAGTACAAAAATAAAACACAAATATTATGAAATTGGTTATTGAGAATGAATGAGTAGATAAAGCCTCCATCACACTATGATTGGCCTATTACTGTATGTTGTTCACGTAATAAATCCCTCCTATTGTTTCTGTTAGCATTCCATATCCGCAGATAAATCTTAATAAATTATGGTGTTAATGGGAAGACTTATTAAAAAGTAGTAACCCACTCACTTATATATTGCTGCTGTTACATCAACATCAAACTTGAAATGACTTGCGAGCCGTTTCCTACAAATCCAGAGTTTTGTACCTGTAAACTCTCTTGATGTCTTTGTATGTATAGACGGTTTTGGAAGTGCTGAAGGGGCGTTCAATCCCAATCTCTCTCTGGATTCTGATTGGCAGCATCATTGGAGGACTGCTGCTTCTTGCACTCTTAGTATTTATCCTTTGGAAGGTACTGAGCACAACACATAAGCAGGCATACAGCGGCTACATCTGAAGCGCATTACTACCCCAAACACTTCATATTTACTAAAACTACTAGCACTCAGCAGTCTTAAGCCATGTGTTGAATATTTCTTCACAGTTGGGGTTTTTCACAAGGAAACAGAGGAAGGATGAGGATGAGAACGATGACAACTGACACTGCAGAGCAGACTGAGCAGTTTCCTTTACAACCAGGAGAAATGCCTTTTGTAGTCATTACTTCCACTTTGAGACATGGCACTTCTGCTCCAGGACCACAAAATATCCATTATCAAGTCCAGGTGGAATCTACAGACTTATTCTTCATTTTCTTTGCTGATTTTGGGGGGAAATCTGCAGAATGGATTTAAACCTGATGAAATATTTTACATGGAGCTGAGAGTGCTAAAAAATGTGCCAAAGTATTTAATAAATGGACACATAAAGGGGTGCATGATGTGTAAAGCTTTGCGAATGACGGGTGTATCAGTTCTTGCAGGTCAGTTGAGTCCATTATTCAGCTTGATGCCGGGTCATAGGTTCTCACACCTAACGTTTTATTTGGATTCTGTTGAGGCACAAAAAAGCACACGAATCCCAGTGTTGCAAAAGGTTTTACCGAAAGAACGAGCAGGAAAACAAGCAAATGCACTATTTGTGAAAAAGAAAATAATGAAATTTGTATTTAAGTTGAAAACATATGTAGTAATACCAAGCGATCAGTTTATTTCATTTTTTTTCTTAACAGAAATAACAATGTCTGTTTCAGTCTTCATGTTCAAGGCACATGCTTTTTTGACATCAAGACAAATTATTAAATAAAAAAATTGTAAACCATTAAATAAAAGAATTACATCTTTATTTTTCCTGTGGAAAATAAAATGGTTCACAACTACACAAAATACTCACACTATTAAATACAAATCAGTCACTGATTTGTAGCAAAAGAAATAAACATCTCCGTTTGAAAACAGCAATAGCCCCATCTACTCTTCTTTAGCCACCAATTTCACCTCTTTTCAAACAAACATCAACAACTTTGTTTTCTGAACTAGCCTACAGTTGCATGAAATCTGTCAGCGAGAGGCCTGTGTAGAGTTAATGTAGGATTTCAGAAGAAATATGGTCTCATCCACCTGGTTTTCACTGGAATCCAACCTGCCACCACGAGCACAAAGAGAAAAGATTAATGACTGGCCGAACATGAATCACGTGACTGATTCATATGCAGAGAGTAACTGGTTTGTGTGGTACTTGTTGATGTGGTGCCGTAGGGACTCGAGCTGCTGTCTTTCTGGAACTGTGATCATCTCCTCCACCTCCGTCAGCTGGGCCGCCTCTGCCCCTGTGGCCTGCAAGGATGCCAGGATGGCCTCAATTCGCTGGGACTTTTCCAAAAGTCGCCTGTCAAAATCAATTAACAGATTAATGACGTAATTAAGAACTAGTACTTAGATTAAATGTTTTTTTATTGACAAAAGGAGGGACTTACTTGTTCTCTTTGGTCTCGTACAGCCGCCTCTCGATCAGGTTGCCAACGGTCTGTATGGGGTCCGCATACAAATATGTCAAAACATTTTAAAAAGACCTGAACAAACACTCCAAGGACGTTTGTATGAGCTCTGTACCTTGTAGCAGTGTTGCAGAAGTAGTCTGGCAGTGGGCAGCTGATTAACTGTGTACAGGTAAAAGGTGCGAGATGGGGCGTAGTCTGGCGTTTTTGGGATTTCCTGTACATACAATACAAAGAGTGGTATGAAGCCTTTTCCAGGGTTATTACAGTTAACTACAACTAAAACCATAAAAAAAATAAATAAATAAATAAAATAAATGTTAACAGAAATAAGATATTTAAAAACTTTATTTCAGCTAGTTGACAAGGCAACCTTTCCTTTTTTTCTTTTATATTTTATACTAAAATCCATCTCAGGTGGTCTAATCACGAGTGGACAGCACTTAATACAGGTGAAAACATGGTCCAAAATGTTTTGTGATCACAAACTACTTTTGAAGGTAGTCAGAAAGTAAAAAACGTATTGTAGTGTAAATGCAAATCCATCCCAAAGTATCTCAGACAGCATCAAATGACACATACTCACCTGTCAATCATCCAATGAGCTAAGACAGTGGTATAAACTATGCTGATTATGTGTAGCTTTAAATTAAAACAACCATCCAAACAAAACTTTTGACTTTTTAAAATAAATGTTGCATTAGTGGTAATAATAATTATTAATAATTAAACTTTTTTATTAAAAGCTTGTGAGGAAAACTACTACATTGTATGTGAAAAACAGTATGCCAAAAAAAAAAAACACTAGGTGAAAAGTACCCAGATGGCATAATATTTCCGAAGAGATTCTGGAGTGTGCATTCAAAGGACACTTTACTATCCCATAAGGCCATGGGAGTGTGAATGGCAGGTAAGCAATGCAACTGGTGCTGTGTCAAATCAAACATGGCGAATGTAGTACGGATTGTCTTCATACTACCCACACATGTACTATATCCATATGACACCAGAGGCCTTGCACATTCAAGGTAAAAAAGGCTGTTTCTCGCTAAAAATAAGGTGGATAGAACATACATTTTTTAATGGTCGCGAATTTTGTCATGAAATATCATAGTACCTAGTTTTTTGTGGGTTTTTTTACTTTGAGCTTTAGAAACATTCACTGACATAGTGAGAAATGCTGCTGTAAATCTGTTGTCATCTGTAATATGAACAGAACCTGTGAGTGTGTTACCTGGAGCTGGACCAGGTTCTCAGACAGGAGTTTGTACAGCATGTCTTTAGCCTCTTTGGCTGGAATCATGGCAAAATCCTCCACCTGCTTCTGTTCCAGGTGCCGTTTCCGCAGTAACAGACGAAAGATTCGAGCTGAGCGGGAACCAAACCTGACATAAAGCATAGCCACATCATTCAACTAAGAACTAAATCAAAAGATTTCAGGAAGCTAAAACACTACGACTCTACTAACCTCTCTTGGACCACAGACTCCAGGGTGGCTCTGGCCAGGTTAGCCAGTGCACGGTGTAGATCTGACCACAGGGTCAAGGGTCAACCAATTTATTATTAGTTGCCTACTTTTGAAAGAAGCCTCTTATGTTCACCAAGGCTGCATTTATTTGATCAAAAACACAGCAAAATCAGTAATAATAGTGTATTACTAATAGAAGTAATGTTTCTATATTAATACCTTTTAATGGTTAATTTTTTAATGTATGTATGCTGATTTGCTGCTCAAGAAACATTTCTTATTGTAATTGAATTATTTTGTGGAAACTGTAAAATTAAAATATCTTAGGATTCCTTGATTAATAGAAAGTTCAGAAGGACTGCATTTATTTAACACCGAAATCTCAGTAACATTGCAAATATCTTTACTGTCACATTTAATCAATTTAATGCATCCTTCCTAAAAAAAAAAAAAAAAAACTTACTAACCCAAACCCCATACTTTTGAAAAATAAATAAATAAATAAAAACAATTTGCAGTTAGACATGGAAAGTATCCTTTTGTCCTTCAGGTGGTGTTTTAAAGGGATACTGACGACATACATTCCTCCTCCACTGTCGCCTGTCTTCCCCACAAATTCCATCTAGTAGAAAAAAATAGATATACATTTTGAAGTCATTTAAAACATTCTAAAGTCATTTAACTCCTGTATAAATAGCAACTATAAAGTAGTGTGTAGTGTGTATCCCTTTGCTTTACCGGATCATCCACCAGGAGAGAGAGGTATTGATCTAAAATTGGTCTGGCGTCTGGCGATCTGGATAGAAGAGCTCGGAAAATCTGATGGAAAACAGTAAGGCTTTGATCACACTTCACATCAATCTGGTTTGGTCTTCTAAGCTGATCTTTAGGACCGACTGTTCACACAGTCATTTGTCATTTTAAACACAAATGAACTCAATCCTAAAATAATTCGTCATATCACTTTAAATGTTTCTCAGTAAGGGCCCTTACGAAACAAAAATGTGCATGTCTGTCCATTACCTCGTTGGCTGAAAGAGCTTGTGTGAAAGCAGCGTGAGCCGGCGTGGTACCTTCACTCATCCGTAACATGGTTCTAACAATCTCACTGCTACTCTACAGGGGAGAAACAGAGAGAAATTTAGCCGATAAAGACCTACATTCTACCAACTACTTATTTCCCTGGGGGAGAAAGTCTAAATGTGAGAATCCAGAACATTCTGTCTCAGATACAGCCGTGAAAGAATATTCAGTCCACAACCTAATTATATCTCACAGCACATCTTAGATTATTTGATATATACAGAGCAGTGGTTATAGTCACCTGATCAAGTTTACAGGAAACAGCACTAATGATGGCCTGGTCCCTGAAGTGCAGGTGAAAGCGTTGAAAATTCACCTGCCAATAGATCCCGTCGTCATCACCACACTGGAGAGTGGAGAAAACAGATGTACAATGCAAAAAAACTCAACTAATGAACATGTGAATGGGTGAAGTCGTTATCACAATCGTAATACCTCACTATTGTCTGTCCGGGCTTTCTTTGCCGCACACTGGTCAGCTTCACCATCCTCGCTTGAGCGTCTGCGTTTTCCTTGACCTGAATGAACACAATTCAACCCCCTAAGTTTTATTCTCAATACAAAAATGTGCATGTCTGTCCATTAGGCAGAAAGAGCTTGTGTGATAGCAGCGTGAGCCGGCATGGTAACTTCACTCATCCGTAACATGGTTCTAACACCCCCCCCGCATGAAGACTGAAACTGCACTTCCAGGTTTTGAACAGTATATTAAATGTGATACCAGAAAGAATAGGACTTTGGACAAATGCTATGGAAATTTAAAACATGCATATGCAGCCGTAGCTAAACCGCCCTTGTCTAACTCTGACCATAATACTGTTCATCTGATTCCTACAGCCCTAAATAGTTGTAAACCCTTGGTCAAAACTATCAATGTATGGTCAGAAGACAGCATAGAAACACTGAAAGGTTGTTTTTTTATGCATGGACTGGGATATTTTCTCTAGGGAGCTAAGCCTGGATAATGCCACAGAAACTACCACGGAATACATAAAATTCTGTGTTGATACTGTGATTCCAAAACGGAAAATAAAAGTCTACCCCAACAACAAACCTTACATTACAAAGGAGGTGAAGGACTGTATTAACAGGAAAAAAAAGGCATTTAAGATCAGAGATCACCTACAACTTAAAACTGTACAAAAAGAGTACATTTAATCAATTTAATGCATCCTTGCTAAATAAAAGATTTAAAAAAAAAACTAAAAAAAAAACTTACTAACCCAAACCCCATACTTTTGAAAAATAAATAAATAAATAAAAACAATTTGCAGTTAGACATGGAAAGTATCCTTTTGTCCTTCAGGTGGTGTTTTAAAGGGATACTGACGACATACATTCCTCCTCCACTGTCGCCTGTCTTCCCCACAAATTCCATCTAGTAGAAAAAAATAGATATACATTTTGAAGTCATTTAAAACATTCTAAAGTCATTTAACTCCTGTATAAATAGCAACTATAAAGTAGTGTGTATCCGTGTAAGCTTTGCTTTACCGGATCATCCACCAGGAGAGAGAGGTATTGATCTAAAATTGGTCTGGCGATGTTGTAACTGGATAGAAGAGCTCGGAAAATCTGATGGAAAACAGTAAGGCTTTGATCACACTTCACATCAATCTGGTTTGGTCTTCTAAGCTGATCTTTAGGACCGACTGTTCACACAGTCATTTGTCATTTTAAACACAAATGAACTCAATCCTAAAATAATTCGTCATATCACTTTAAATGTTTCTCAGTAAGGGCCCTTACGAAACAAAAATGTGCATGTCTGTCCATTACCTCGTTGGCTGAAAGAGCTTGTGTGAAAGCAGCGTGAGCCGGCGTGGTAACTTCACTCATCCGTAACATGGTTCTAACAATCTCACTGCTACTCTACAGGGGAGAAACAGAGAGAAATTTAGCCGATAAAGACCTACATTCTACCAACTACTTATTTCCCTGGGGGAGAAAGTCTAAATGTGAGAATCCAGAACATTCTGTCTCAGATACAGCCGTGAAAGAATATTCAGTCCACAACCTAATTATATCTCACAGCACATCTTAGATTATTTGATATATACAGAGCAGTGGTTATAGTCACCTGATCAAGTTTACAGGAAACAGCACTAATGATGGCCTGGTCCCTGAAGTGCAGGTGAAAGCGTTGAAAATTCACCTGCCAATAGATCCCGTCGTCATCACCACACTGGAGAGTGGAGAAAACAGATGTACAATGCAAAAAAACTCAACTAATGAACATGTGAATGGGTGAAGTCGTTATCACAATCGTAATACCTCACTATTGTCTGTCCGGGCTTTCTTTGCCGCACACTGGTCAGCTTCACCATCCTCGCTTGAGCGTCTGCGTTTTCCTTGACCTGAATGAACACAATTCAACCCCCTAAGTTTTATTCTCAATACAAAAATGTGCATGTCTGTCCATTAGGCAGAAAGAGCTTGTGTGATAGCAGCGTGAGCCGGCATGGTAACTTCACTCATCCGTAACATGGTTCTAACACCCCCCCCGCATGAAGACTGAAACTGCACTTCCAGGTTTTGAACAGTATATTAAATGTGATACCAGAAAGAATAGGACTTTGGACAAATGCTATGGAAATTTAAAACATGCATATGCAGCCGTAGCTAAACCGCCCTTGTCTAACTCTGACCATAATACTGTTCATCTGATTCCTACAGCCCTAAATAGTTGTAAACCCTTGGTCAAAACTATCAATGTATGGTCAGAAGACAGCATAGAAACACTGAAAGGTTGTTTTTTTATGCATGGACTGGGATATTTTCTCTAGGGAGCTAAGCCTGGATAATGCCACAGAAACTACCACGGAATACATAAAATTCTGTGTTGATACTGTGATTCCAAAACGGAAAATAAAAGTCTACCCCAACAACAAACCTTACATTACAAAGGAGGTGAAGGACTGTATTAACAGGAAAAAACAGGCATTTAAGATCAGAGATCACTTACAACTTAAAACTGTACAAAAAGAGTTGAACCAGAAACTCAAAGAAGCAAAGGAACATCATAGGGGGTCAATAGAGGAAAACCTCCAAACTATGAACTCTAAAAAATAATGGGACTCAATGAAAATAGCCACCAACATGAAACTTACTAAGAAATCTTTGAATGTTGTAGATGAACTGGAAAAAGCAAATGAGTTGAATTATTTTTATAAGAGGTTTGACAATCATGATTTCTAAGTTGAATGTGATATGGTGCTTGATAATATTGCTATTGATGAAACTGATAGGCTAGAGATTGACCCTAAATCTATCAACAAGATTCTTAAGCAAATCAATGTCAATAAGGCCACAAGTCCAGACGGCATCTCTGCTTTTCTATTAAGAACATGTGCAGATGAACTGATACCTGCCTGGTGCCCCATTTTCCAGAGGTCCCTGCATTCTCACACTGTACCGACACAATGGAAAAAGGCAATTATTACACCTGTCCCTAAGAAACCCTGCCCGCAGGAAAATAACGATTTTAGACCTATTGCCTTAACTTCTGTTGTGATGAAGTGCATGGAAAAGCTCATTATGAGCAAACTACAGCTTGATGTAGGCCCACAGTTAGATCCCTACCAGTTTGCATATAAACACCAGAGAGGCACTGATGATGCAATCAACAGTATAGTGCACCTAGTGACTAAACATCTTGAGAATCCTAAGGCCTATGCCAGACTGTTGTTTGTAGATTTTACTTCAGCCTTTAACACTCTGCAGCCTCATGTTCTCTTGAAAACACTGCAGCGGATGAATGTCAACCCTTTTATTATTAAGTGGTTCCACTCATTTCTAACTAATCGTAGTCAGCAGGTCAGGGTGAATAGGACGTTGTCTAAATCTTTGACCATCAGCACTAGTGCTCCTCGGGGGTGTGTTAGTTCCCCGGTACTGTTCACACTGTACACTAATGAATGTACATGTAGTACTGCTAACAATTACATGATTAAGTTCTCTGATGATACAGCTATCCTGGGTCTCATATTAGATACATCAGATTCCGTTGCATATAAACATGAGGTTCAGAACTCTGTTCAGTGGTGCGACAAGCATTCTCTCATCATCAACACTAAGAAAACAGTGGATCCCAAATCCATTGGAGACCACTTACCAGTGGCCATCAATGACCAGAACATAGTCCAGGTTGATTCCTACAGATATCTAGGCATACACTTTGATAACAAGCTGACATGGAGTGTCCAGTTAGAAAACATCTGTACTAAGGTTCAACAGCGACTACACTTTCTACGTAGGCTGAGGGTCTTTGGTGTTAACCAGAGAGTGTTGCTTTTCTTCTATCATGCTGTAATTGAGAGCCTTCTCATGGCATCTCTGCCTGGTTTGGCAATCTCAGTGTACAGCTGAAAGCACAGATTACACAGTTAACACAGAGAGCCATGAAAATCATGGGAGTTAAGCAGCATCCCACACTTCAGGCTGTCTTTGCTGAAACTATCATCAGACAGGCCCGAAAAATTATTTCAGATCCCACCCATGTCCTCCACCCTGAGTATCAGCTTCTTCCCTCGGGGAGACGCTTTAGACTTCCCCAGTGCAGGCTTAACCGCTTTAAGAATTCCTTCGACCCTCTGTCCATCAAAGCTTTAAATGATAAGTCAGCCAGAGGTTGACCACTAAAAAGTTTCTTAGTATGTGATGAGTGTTTTGACTGAAGTAACTGACCGGTGAGATTGATATAGGGTAGTTTGTAGCAGTCTGGGTGGCTCTCTGGTTCAGTGGGCTGTGTTGCAACCGGAAGGGGGGTGTCGACTGCTCCTGAGCTTGATGATCCTGCTGAGGCCAAAGGAGGACAACGCTGCAGGAAATGAGTCTCAACCAACTGGGAAAACACAGAGACAACCTCACTGTAGTCCATACTCTGGCCCTCTGTTGCAAAAAAAAAAAAAAAGAATTTCAATAGGTACATCTCAAATAGAAGTCAAGACATAAGAAAGTAGGGCTGCACGATAAATCGCATGCGATATTTAACGCGCATCTTGTCAGGAAGTCGGTTCTTTAATCAGCGGTAAATCTCCATCACCTGCGTGCTTTCACATTGAGCAGCATTAACTACACAGAGCCGTTGTTCACTGATGAGCTGCGCAAAAAATCACGCGAATATGAACGTGGTTTCGCGCAACTCGTCAGTGAACAACGGCTCTGTGTAGTTAATGCTGTTCAATGTAAAAGCCCGCAGGTGATGGAGATTTACGCTGATTAGAGAACCGGTTTTTCTGACAAGATGCGCGTTAAATATCGCATGCGATTTATCGTGCAGCCCTATAAGAAAGTGGATGGAGCATATTTCAGATGTAATAATAATAGGGCCTTTCGCACCGCGGGAACCTTTTCATAGTACTAGAACTAATTGTGGAACTACCCACTTTTTGGCGTTTTCGCACCGCCGGAACTGGGTGAGGAGGTAATTCTGACTTTGCCATGACCATACCAATATGGCCTCAGTTAAGTTTGGTTTAAAGGGGCTGAGTATGCTTTAAAGTTTATATACTTTATACTGTTTATATCACATATACTGTAAGCCAAAATCCTTTAAAAATATATATTTTTTTAAATCCTGTTTTGTTTACATATATGAATTAGCCCTTCAGTCTACTTGTATTCTTATAGTTTCTCACCTGGCATATTGTGGGTCAGCCGGTCTGCTACAGTCTTGACTGTGCTGCTCATAGTCATATGTCCTCTCTGCAGTATCTCCTCAACAATGAGCTCGCCTGTGTCTCCATAAAGACTCTTGGCGGTGTAGATGTAGCGTGGATAACGGAGCATGTGGAAGACGTGCTCACAGTTGATGCGATATTCCACAGGTCCTGCTGGACCACGACGCCCAGCACCAAACGTACACATCCCATGCTGCACCAGCACACACAGAGACTTCTTGACCTAGCAGGAGAAGAGTGTGTTAAAGAGAACACGATGAATTTACTGGCTCTGTAAATGGAAGACAGAAAGAATGAGACAAGAGAGAAAAGGGTGTGATAGAGAAAGTTTAAGTACATGACATTACCAGGTCAAGAGGAAGTTTGGTCTCATGGGCAAGAGCTCGCAAGGTCAGAACTCCACTGCGGATGAGATGCGTGCCCACTTTCTCCACCACATTTCCAAAGTGCTCCTGCAGTAACAGCCCACATAAACGCACCTCCTGCGTTGTCATCTGCAGAAAAGAGAGGAACAACAGATTAAATACCTGATGAAATAACATGGTTTTATAAACACAAATTTTGCAGGACCGACAAAGGAGCGGAATCATATTTTTTTGTGACAAAATATAAGCTTTCAGGACAGACCATAAACTCTGAGGCAGTTACGCAGGGTTGTAGCAGCCCAGAGTCTTTGTAGTTTCAATTTCATTTTTTTAAACTCATCTTTAATTGATGAATTCCCAATGAATAACTACACTACCCATAATCCTGAAGAACGATCCACCAATCAGAAAAGTTGCTGTAACTAAAGAAACAAAAACTCCCATGAAGCATTGTGAATGATGTAACTGATGAATGCCTTCACTCTCAAACTACTGGTACGTATTTTAATATTTTACAATAAATTAGTTTTAGTAATAAGTAATGTTGAATAAAAGGTAAATAAATACATTTAAATAAACTTTAACATACAGTTTTTTATAAATATAAACAATGACTGTGAGTTCAAAATCTGTATTACACAGTCGTTTCTAAACTGACTGCATCATTAAATTGTTTCATTCCAGAGGCATGACCCAGACAGCAACATAGTGTTGGCCCAGATCCGGCCCACATCAACTGTCTGCTGTGTCTGCTGTCGTCAGTGTTGATCTACTGCCAATAATCCCAGTTATTTTTACTACTATATAACCATAACAGATAAATATGATATATTCTTGATGTGAACTATATATAAATTATGACTAATTCTAATGTCTAGTAACAACATTTTCTTTTGTATCTGTAACTAAATTAGCACAGATCACAGTGTTGTAAGCTGTAGCTACAGTAAAAGCGGCATATTAATAGCACTAAAAGAACATCATATTCAAAACGTATAGGAATAATTATTCATATTTAGGTTCTAGGTGATACTCGTTACACAAACTAACACATGAAAGCAGCATTAGTTGCTGTCTAGCCGTTCTACAACTCAAACATCTCATGTAGCCTAACATTGCACAAAAAGACAAATCATGCACATGCACAAACATGAACCTACCTCTAAAAAGTATCTAGCTGTAGGTGTTTTGAGTTTTAATTTCACTTTTTAATCTCACATGTGTTGTTCAGGCGGTGTCTAATGATCAGTGACGAATTTCCGTGTTCATGTGGAGTTCCAGTGTGATGCCTGATCAGCGAACGAATCGTTGCAATTAACTGATTCTTTTAATGATTCAGAAGAACCGAATGTGAATCGCTCGACTATAAAAACTATGTTCTGAGAGTAAAACAATTAGATGCATGACATATTGAAAACATAAACATAATATACGACAATGTCCAACAAAAATATCAATTTCGCTAGAAAAAGAGACATATTGAGAGCAGTGCCGTCCTAGCTGCGCAGGGCCCGGTACGAGGTAGGGAGCGGGGTCCCCCTCGGTCCGTTCACCGCGGGGCCCGGTGCAGCCACACCAGTTTCATCCCCCTAAGGACGGCCCTGATTGAGACAGGAACACATTTTGAGCTATTTAATTTCATTTTTTTATATTCATTATTGTTTATTAATCACTCCCTTGATTTTCATTTTACTATTTACAGTCTGAGGCTTGTAGAAAACACATTTCACTGCAGCTGTAAGGATGTGTGACAAATAAACTTGACTCTGAATCACTGTATCGTTTTGACCAGTTCATTTAACCGTCCGAGTGAATCGACTCGCTACAATGAATCGGACTTCCGAACGCTCAATGTCAGAGCGCCTCCTTCTGCAGTGGGCGGACCGATGGCCTGCGCTGCTGCTGTTTGGGACACAGACAGAGACAGTCTCACGGAAAACATGGCGGAGGCTGCGGCGGTCCCTCCGCATCGCTTCTTCTGTCACTGTTGTAAGGGTGAAGTGAGCCCCAAACTGCCGGTGAGTCCGCGTCGCTTGTAACGCACAGCCGGTTCATCTTAGTCGGTTTCTGTACTCCCGCTATCGCTTTGGCAGGTTTGGCTGTTGTGCTAAAGTTAGCATGGTAGCAGTGTATCAACTTGATGTGGGCGAAAGGCCTGTCGTGCCTTGTTGTTTGTATATACACACTGAAAATAAACGTATTTATCGATGACCGGTGTTTTTAAACATAAGACTGGTGCTCGTACACGGGAAAACTGACGTGTTTTACCTTCAGCACAAATGCTACACTGTCTTGTGTTTTCGTGCTATCTTTCTTTACAAATAGTGACTTATTCACATTTTAAGACATGTTAGGCTTTAATAAATTTTCAGTTCATGCTGTTACCGTTGAGAGATGTTCAAAAACGTCTTTAAATCCTGAACTCTTTTCAAAAGCGAAACCGGAATACCAAATATTTCTGTTTCTGTTTTAAGTTAGTTGTCATATGACGTGCATCGCAAATCTGTCAATTACTGTTTAATTTAAGCACTTGTTGGTCAGTGTGTCAGTAAGTCAATCCATCATGAGCTGTTCCGGTGAGGATGAGTTGTGTGCAATCCCTTGTTTACTACCCATTTAACTTAGTAAACGTCATACTGTATTTAGAAGATGAATCATAACTGGTTCGTGCTTGGTGTATATCGTGTGAATGAGGCAGAACAGTGTTCCGAGTTGTGCTGCATGTCAAGATAAGCAGCCATTGTCCTACTTTTGTTGGAGACCCACAGGATGATGACCTGTCTTGACCTGTTCAAATCGGAGAAAAAAAAAAATAGGGAAGCAGCCTCTTAAATCAGCCAGCAATTGTTCTGACACACATTACAGGGAGTGTCTCTCCTCATACGGGAATATTTGTTTTAAAATTAAAATAAATGTGTGTTGTGGTGCTATGCAAATGTGTGTGTCCTCACAAAAGCACAGCTATCTTGTTTGTTAGTTTTCAGTGTTGATGTCAACAGTGTGATTTTCAGACATTGTATTCTAATTGTGATTTTGCTTGTGTTCAGGAGTATATCTGTCCCAGATGTGACTCGGGCTTCATCGAGGAGGTTACAGAAGACTCCAGGTGAGCTTTTCAATGGCTGCACTTCCTCATTCGTTGTCTCCGGTGGCATGTTGCAACTCATGCACTGCTGCATTAACATGGCAGCTCTTTCAGTGCCTTCTGGAGAATATAAATAAGTTGATTGTGTCACCTGGATTCGTAGCACCACCAAACGGACATGAGAAGTAAAAGATGTGAACACAGAGCTGTGATGTAATTTTTTAGTATTGATACATCAAGAAAAGTTGTAGATCATTCATAGATTGTGCATCCATTCTGCCAGAGGAACATGAAGGATTTGTTGAATTCCAGCTCAGTTTAGTTTGTCATTTTGGAATTTATTGGGGAATTTAGATCAGTGGTTCTCAATCCTGGTCTTAGATTTCCAGCATACTGCACATTGTGGATGTCTCCTCTTTTTATTTATATGATTAGGTCTTTAGTAGACCTGTGCTGTCTCTGAAATCATTATATTCAGTGCATACTGTGAAAATACATGAAGAACCTCTCGACTGTTATTGATTCAAGTACTTTTGAATGCTATGAATGCATTGCTGGACATACCACATCTTAGTGCTGGGCGGTATGACCAAAAATTTATATCACGGTATTTTCCAAAATTATACCGGTTTCACGGTACATGACGGTATTTGTTTTTCATGCATGACCGGGTGTTAACCATATTTTCTACTGATTGAGAGAGGAAATACTGCAGTATATTGACTGAGAATGCCCTATTTTACTGTCATGATGAGTGAATATTGTCAAAAAATACCACACTAAATAGTGACTAAACACAACCCCTTTAATGTTAACCAGGAGTCACTCACATTTATAATCGCGGCATCGTCTGATAAAATCAACATGCATCTACACTAAAGAGCGGCTATGCGGTTGTTTTGGCTATATTACTTTTTTGTCTCATGCAGCGCACTGCCTGCACCTGAGTAACAAACTTTAAAAAAACAACAAACAAAAAACGTGCATGTGATATGAACTACGCTCATATTTATAATTCCAAACAATCAGTAAGCAACAGGTGCTAGGAAACGCTGTTTTGTACTCATTTATTGATGAGTCGGCTGCGGTGCGGCCAACTGAATGCGCTGCTTCTCTGCCGCTCACTGCACAGAACAGACGCCGAGAGAGGCGACACTTCTCCGGGAAAGTCAGACCTCGCGTTCGCGGGACAGCACTGGCGAAATCTTCCAACTGAACCATAGCTAAGGTTTATCCAAAAGTCACTAGGTTTGTCAGTATGTATATTCTATGGGAAAAACCGCTAAAAGGGTCTGAAAGTTGCTAAAGTCGCGCTCGTGTGTGTGAGACGCGGGAGCTGATGGCAGGGGGCGGTGGATATTTGTGGCAGTCAATGTGGATATTGTGGATGAGTTCTTCTGTGTCATCATCACGTTCTATTAGTTCTGCAGCTTCAGTTTCGGAACTTTCACGCTTAGTAACGCATACAGCTGTTCCCTCACCACAGTGCAACAGTGAAAAGGGACCCCTTTCAAACAGTGTCGCGTTCCGAACATTGTTTAAGCGACATACACCGGTATTGCGGTATTTAAAAAATTCATATCATAACAAAAATAAACACCGGTATTCGGTATGAACCGGTATACCGCCCAGCACTACCACATCTCCCATGTTGCCATTGTCATTGACTCTATATTCTTTTGCTTAAGATTTACTAGCAGTAACCTTGTTAACTAGCAGTAACCTTGAAAATTGTTAAATTTGTGATTTGTTAAAAGATTTTGGCAGATCTATTCATTTATTTGAAATACATAAAACATTTAATTTATACAGTGATTTGAAAGAAAAAAAAACATTAAGTGGTTTGGCATGATCTTTTATTATTGTTTCCTAGGGGAAAAAACAATGAAGTTTTGTTGATTGAATTTTTTTGTTTGAAAGTCATGTGGTGCAACTGATGTGCAGAAAAATGCCGAAAAAAAGCATAAAACAGGAAATTATATCATAGACCTTGCAGACCCTAATGACTGTGTGTCAAGGTTGCAAATGTCTCTAAAAATATAACTTGATCATTTTATGGTACAGCAAGGTTAGTTCAAGTTGTGGAATGTCATGTGGTGCAACCCTTCAAAAAGCTTATGTAATAAACTAAATAAATTATTGGAATTAATAATTCAGAATATTTGCTTTAAAAAATTAAATAAAGAAATAGGTGTGGGCATTTTCATTTTTTCAAGGTGTAAAGAAAATTTGTTATTACCTTTCTCTTGATGGTTACAACGCAAGACATTTTAAGTCATTATTAAATTGAAACTTTTCTTGAAAATTGTATAAAAGTGTTTCAAAACCATAAGAAACTATCATGAATAAGTTCACTTCTGAGAACTTGGCACGTGTTAAAAACTAGATTTATAAAATGATTTTTTTTATTTCTTTATTGGACACTCTTATTTGTCATTGACCTACTTACACTAGAAAAGAGTTGCTCAACTCACAGCTCTCTCAACTTTTCAAATCTGATGACTCCTCAGCTGCTTTGGCATTGTAGGATAGCAAAGTGTCCACTGATTGAATGCAATCTCCGCTGATGAAGTCAGTCATTTGGGTAATGTTCACTTACTGTTTCTGTTCTATTCATACTATGTAGTAGGGAAGTGCTGGTCATCTTTTGAAGGCAGCAGAGGTGCCTATGGTATCTCACGATCCTGCTTGTGTAGTTCAGCTGTTGAATATGGTATCTGAAAATAAATGAATGAAAAGCTAAATAAATTAATTCACGAATTTTTGTATTATTTTAACGCATATCACCATTCCTAACAAACAATAAACATTGCAGTCATTAAATATTTGCTTGGTTATGACTACAGCTCACATGAAAACAGACGTAACCAGTGCCATCACACTAAAAGACTTCTGTGAAGTCATTGTCTGGGCACCATGGGTAGCGAGGCAGCTGTGTTAGCCTTCAAATGAGTGAGACATCCAAATTGTGCAGTTCTGGATTGAGAAGCACTGGTAGGTCAATGACTCCCTCACTCTGACAGTCAGCTGTACTGCAGTGAATGTTGCCAAGTTCCATGAAACAGCAATATGTAGCCAGATCTGACATGAATGTGATTGTTTCATCCTTAGTCTTCTGGACAGTAGTTCAAATAGCCTTGATGACACAGCTTCACAGTTTGCTGAGGTATGTTGACCCCTTCCTTCTAC